ATGTGATGCTGCATTGCTGATGCAGGTTTTGCTTTTCAAGTAGAGAGGAAAGGGCTCTGACAGCGAGGTGAGAATCCCACCAATAATGAAAAACACCAAGGGTTGTCCAGTGGTGCTGTGTAAACAAAATAAATCCCTAATGAACTTGATTGGTAGGAGCAGAAGAGAAATCAAGGAGATCACTGACTATGTACTCACTGAAGACAAAACAATGGCCAGAGGAGTTGTAAGAAAGGATGTTTCCCATGTGGACTATGAAAGACAGTGATAAAAATCCAGCCAAGTTCTGAGCAGATTTTACATGTAAACCTAATCTGAGCTAAAAGTCATTTATTCTTCTCATTGAAACACTCTGTCCAATTATTGGTTAAATCCTAATGCAAAACATTGTTAATTTGACTGATCTCTTTTATGGTCTAGGACACTTCTGCATTTTTATCAATAAAAGATAATAAATAAAAATCAATAAATAACCCGAAGATTTTGACATTCACAGTGTATTGATGCCCACTGACCCCCACATCATCACCCCTGGTTTCATCAAGAATATGATTCTTCAGCATTGGCTTCTGAGCAAATTAATAACATTGGAGAGCCTCATAATGCATTATTGAGTTCACACCCTTATTTTACTACCCCAGAAACTGGGATTCACAGAAGTTAGAGAATTGCCAGGAGTCAGAACAAGGCTCCTGTACTCTCTGTACACTATGCCACATGGTTGTGCTCATCAGAGGACAAAACATGAGCCTCAGGACATGACCGTTCATACTGCTGCTGGCTGGCACTTCCTCTCTGCTTGCATCCATGTCTATGTCTGTCTTTTTCCTAGAAAACCACAGATCATAATACAGCTTATGTCTCCACCAACATTTTTGTCAACCTTAGGTAAATAAATAAAAGATGACTACGCCATGCTATCCACTATCCGTCTATCAGTTTGTTGTACTGTGGTGACTTTCATGCTGCTATGATGCTGGAAGCTATGCCATTGGTATTTCAAGTATCAGCAGGGTCACCCATGGTGGGCAGGTGTCAGTAGAGCTTCTAGACTAAGACAGACGAGAAAGAAAGGCCTGGCAATCTACTTCTCAAAATTAGCTAATGAAAATCTTATGGTTGAGGACAAAACATTGTTCGACTTGCTTGCTTTGGACATGCCATCAGGAGGGATCAATTGCTGAGGAGGACATCATGTTTGGTAAAGTAGAGGGCCAGCGAGGGTGAGGGGAATCCTCAGTGAGATGGATTGGCACTATAGCCGCAACCATGGATTCCACATGCTGGTGATTGTGAGCATGATGTAGGACAGTGTAACATTTCGTTCTGTTGTACAGAAGGTTGCCATGGGTCAGAGCTGACTCAATAGCAGCTATCTATCTATCTGTCTATGTCTCTGTCTGTCTATCTATGCCCCACTATATTTATTATTTAATAGATGAAAAATAATTGGGACCAAATGTACACATTCTACATAACACTTGGAAAAAAACACCAATATATATTCATAATAAGAAAAGTAATTTGTGATATAATAATATAATAATGACACGATGTTGATTTAGTTAAGATTTTATATCAAATATTTCTAAATTCAAGTAGAAACAAAATTCTTAAGAAAAATGTCTTAATGCTGGTTCTATATAAAATACTAAAAATGAGGTCTCATTTAGAGGTGATCCCCTATATTATTGTCTTTCCTGTTTGGTTATTAAGCTAAATGATGTTATTTCACTGGATTTCATATGTGCTGCAGGTCCTGCTGGGAAAGCATATAACTGAACTCATTTAGGAAGAGGCAATGTGACTATCTGAGAAAGGCTGCCATATGTGAAACCTCACTTTATGCCTGTTGAAATTTTTGTGTTTCAGATCTCCTAGGGACATGTCCATTGTGCTGTTGTGTAATTTTATCAGCATGAACTTCTGCTGAATATTTTTCTTTATTTCAAATCCATATTTTGGTAGAGCTAACTTCAAAACTTAATGTTGCAACCCTGTGCCCATACACCTGGGAGCCATGAAGGATGTGTTCTGAAGATTATCTACATTTTCTAATCTTACAAAATGCTACCCAAAAAAAAAAACCACACAACATTTTTCCTGGTCTAGAATTTTTTTTAAAAAAGGAAACATTTTCTTCCCCTTTAGAAAGATTCTTATGATAAAAAGAGAACCAGTATTTCTGAAGCTATAAAGAATATCTCTACAAATAGAATACCATTTGTTTCTGTTTATAGATAAGAGTAATTTTTAATACATGTATAGCTTTCCATTGAGAAACATTGTAAATATCAGGAAAACCCAAAGCTATATTCTCAAAATGTTTTCAAACAGGACTCTTTAATAAATATATGACTCAAAAAAAAAAAAAAGCTATAAAAAATATTCTCCTTCTTTCAACGCATTTAACCACTTTTCTTCTGTGGTTTTACCAATAGCTCAATAGCAACATTTTTTAAAAATAGAAATCCCGGGTTTAATCAGCTTTTCTCAAGCCGATGATTGAGATCTTGGCCAAGAGAAAGGAATAAGTGAACGGAGAGAAAAGCCTCCGACCCACTCTTCATTAATTGCCCTATCTTTATAAAATAAAATTTGCAGCAATGTTAAGAGTTTAAAACAAAAAAAAAAAACTAACCTGTTGCTGTCAAGCCAATTCCAACTCATAATGACTCTACATAGGACAGAGTAAAGCTGTATAGGGTTTCCAAAGAGCGGCTGGTGGATGCCAACTGCCGACCTTTTGGTTAGCAGCCAAGCTCCTAACCACTGTGCCACCAGGGCTCGGTTCAGAGTTTAGAGCCATATAAAAACTGCCCGCAGGAGACAATGCATGAATGAAACGTGCAGGACAAATTTGTTTTTGAAGAATGATATAGAATAGGGGAAGTTGTTATGGATTCAAAATAGGAAAGACAGTGAATGGAATTGGAAAACTCCATACGCAGATTCTCTTCTTGACCTTGTCATCAAATTATCAAATAAGGATACTTAATACTTACCGAGTCTTTTCTATTGTATTGTATTGCTGTGTGTTGTTGTAAATGCTTTGCATGTGTTAATTCATTAAATTTTCACCACAACTCTGTGATACGTACTATTGTTATCACTGTTTTACAGACGAGGAAACAGGCATTGGGAGACTAAATGACTTCCCTAGTGTCACACAGCTTGTCGGTGGTGGCAGCCCTAATAACAGACCCAGTGTAACTATTCATCTACATTGCCTCCCTGTCATTTGGTTACTTTTTTTATGTGTAACAGGAGAACAGCTTTTATCTCTTACTTTGAAGCCAAGAATAAGATGATCAAAATGAAGCATTTAAAGCTATTTCAAATTTTAAAACCTGAACTACTCAAGTCATGACCATGTTAAGTATCTACGCTAAAGAAGGAAAGGGAAGACATGGTTAATTCAAGCCCACAGGCATTTGCCCTCCTACAGTGAAAAGTCAAATTTTGGCTGAGAAATTCAACCTCAAAGTTGTTGTAAGCAAGTAGCAAATTTGACATCTCACCATTTGTTCAAGAGAATTGGCATACCTACAAGGAAGAGGGAAAAAGTGGATATTTAACTCTTCAGAATTAGAGGGGTGTTAAATGCTGGGAAGCCATTGGTAGAAGGGCAACACGACACTCATTCATTCATTCATTTATTTATTTGCTGAACACAAGCTTTCCCTTTATAGGCCAAGTTAAACAGTAGTTTGATGTTCTCTTACTATTTGCATTTCTTGAAGCGTAATACACAAGGTAAATAATTTCTGGCATAGGTAAATTAAGCAAACAAGCATGGCATCGTACATCTGAAGTATATTGAAGGGATCAATACCATCTACCTGAATTTGAAGTAAGAGATGTATCAATTCTATTATCATCATCAGACAACAACTACTCCAAATATTCCACTTGCTAGGAACATGATGTTGAGTCTGAACTAGGATTTCCAGCAGAAAAAAGGTTATTAGAGGCATAGCTATGGAAGAATATTGTGCTATAAATGCAGTGGGGGAAAAAGGAAGTAGCAAAATAGCTACCATGGTTTAGCAATGAAACGTTGCCAATGCTTCTACTAAGAAGAGTTCATAATTTGGAAGCTGTAGTTACTATTGACCTGATTTTACAACTGAGATCATGTCTGTCTTTTAATTTGGAAACAATATTGATCCCTGTCTTCTATAAGCAAGACTTGTCCAGCTATTACTCTGCAATTGCTTTGCAAATACGGTTTTATGTAAGAGTAGCGTGACTTATGATATAGGGTAACAGGTAAATTATCGCGTGAGCTTCTTTTAAGAGATTGCTTTATATTTGGAAATTGAATTCTTCAAGTTCTTCAATAAATACTACATTTTTTCTGATAATAGTTTTTTTTAAAAGATCTTAAAAAAAGATTTCTATCTTTACTCCAGTATGTTGACTTCTTGTCCTAAATGCTGTTTTAAAATTATTTACTAAATGTTCATTCCTCCTACCTCTTCAGAAATCATTATAATTCTCTCTTATTTTTTTAACAGTATTTAATATTGTTTTCTCAATATTAGAGGACAAATTTGCAATTTATGAAGTTCATATAATATGTATATTTTACACAAATTGCTTCTTGAATTAATAACCATATAAGCAAGACAGAATGAAATCAATACAAAAAGGTTAATCTATTTGTTTCAAATCCATTTCAGATTTTCTATGATTTTTTCCCCAAAGCTTCCATAGGCTTTCTCAATACCATAATTTTGGAAGTTAAACTGAACCTAACTGAATAATAAAAACATCTTCATACAATTCAGAAGGGGAAAAAAAAAAGCGCTAAAAGTAACTTCTCTTGCTACTTCTAGATTTTATTCTACTTTCAAAAATAGGTTCAGGATTAAATAAATTTTCATTTTCTCCATATAAAACTGTGACTGAATGAGGATAATGCTGGTAGTAGAATTTTAGTCTGGAATCCAAACAAAGTCTTTATTCTTGAAGCTTTAATTTAAGAGTAGTCTTACCTTTTTCATCTTGGTCATCTGTTACTGGGACCACTTCTGGTGGCTCAACAATCCTGGCATCCTCTGGGACTGATGAAAGCTCTAAATAGAAGGAGATAGAAGGGTGTTCAGGTAAGTTGAAATCACTTAGAAAATACAGTGATGACAACATAGAAAATTAAAGCTCTTTCTCTTTTACAAGTTAGAAAGAGCGAAGAAAGCAGACTCTATCGCCATTCTTCAATAATCATAGCCTAAACCACACACACACAACACTCTTAGTACAAGTATACGTAGAAGTCATGTTTCAACGTTTCATCTCATTCTCTGATAACAATATATTCTGGTTTCAGTACCTTCTGTTTCCATATATGAAGTCTGGGCCTCTGTCTCAATTTTTATTTCATTCTTTGTTGAATCATTCTCTTGGCCTGTTAAGAACAGTGATTGGAAAATAAATGTGATATGTATGACCATAGCTTTATCCCTGGTTTGAAAGAGCAAAATCTTCAGAAACCACATTTTAATCGTGCATGGAGAGGCAGAGAGCAGGTTTGAACCAAAGTGGAGGGTGAAGATAACATTTTTCAAATCATCAAAATTATATCAATTATTTTATGAGAAATATTCAGATAATTTAGGCAGAAACCTCTTCTTTGGACTGGTTGGTGTAATTATTTATTTAGCTTATTAGTGCACTGGATATGTATGAACACAACCTGAAAGTTCTGAAAATTTAAATAATTTCTAGGCTGTAAGAGTTAACTACATTGAATTTTTCTTTATAATACAGACATTTCCTGTATTGAGGATTCCTAGGAACAAAAATATAGTTTGTACAGTATAGAATTGCTGTTTCCAAAAACACTACTTGTGCTTTCATTCCTCCATCAACGGAGGAAAAAAAGAAAAAAGGAGTAATGCAAGCATACAGGAATTGGTTGGCATAACAGCTTAATCATTCTCTTAAGACACCAGCTAAATATAGCAAAGGTCAGGAGAGAATTTAGCCAACTCTTGATTACTCCAAGGCTGATTATCTAGTAGTGGGGTTTTTTTTTCCCCCACATGCTTGGCTTCTCCCCCTCCCCTCCCCTGTAGAGTTTAGAACATTTAAGTGCTCATTAAGAGAGGAAATTGAAATCTGTCCATTTTGCATCTTGTTAATGAAAGATTTTCCGCTGAGGGTATTTGACTATTAAAAAAATAAATAGATAACCACTCCAGAGCTTGGGTTGGTTGGTACAGGCACAAAGGAGATGCAGAGAAACTTGGGCTCTTTGCCTGGATACATCCCTGTGGTAGATTGCATTATTGTTCCAACTTTTCTCTACTCCTTCCTAAACTGAAAAAAAAAAAAAAAAAATCTGTCTCATGGCGACCACATATGTTACAGCGTAAACTGCTCCATAACGTTTTCTTGGCTGTAATCCTAACAGAAGTAGATCACCAAGTTTTTCTTCTGCAGTACCACTGGATGGGTTCAAACTGCCAACCTTTAGGTTAGTAGTTGAGCACAAACCAGTTGAGCTTCCTATAGAAGTATTATATTTCCCTGTCTCTGGTCATATGGCCTGCAGTGTACCCTGTGGGATGAGTGTGTATTCCCAACCCATTGACACCAGGTTTGTTCATACGACTTTAGTTCAGAAGATGGTACACAGACAGGCATGATGTGTACTGCATTTGGGCAGAATCTTCAACATTGTTGTATATGCTTTTTGTGATATTCTCAAATCACCTATGTATAAGTCATTATTATGTATGCTTCTATAATGCTTTTTACACTGTTATGATGCTTTTTATTATGCTTTTAAACACCTATGTATAAGTCACATATATGTGAAGTCAGAAATAAAGAATTTCTGAACTTAGAAACATGTATATTTCTATGATGCTCTCTATTGACTATAAGTCATTAGAAGCTATAACTGTAAGTCATTAGAAAGTTGTTTTAACCTTGATAATAGATAAGTATATGAAGTATGTAGTAAACAGGGACATAAATGTGTCATATAACAACCCCCTTAACTGCTAATAAATCGAATCTCTATAAATTGACCTTGGGACATAAATATATCATACAACTATTCCCTTAATTGACAATAAAACACACTAAAAATTCATATTGATCTTGAGACACAAATATGTCCTTAACTAGCAATAAAACATGCTAATCTTGGTTGAACATGACAGTACTTAACCCTTATTTTGTAAAGTAAAGATAAAGAAATTATGTATAAACCCTCAATTTATGCTCACTTTCTGGAGAAGAAGACAGCAGTAAAATGTTACTGATTTCTTGCTCTCTCTCAACACTGAGAGCCTGCTGAGATACTGCCCACCACAACCAACCTTGGACCCTAACTACAGGGGACCTCCTCTGAGTTTGAGGGGTGGTCAAGTCTTTCTCCCTGAGATCACTCATTAAAGGTAAAAGCCTGAAGTCTAAAGATTTGGACTCTTACCATTAAACTAACATTGTAATTGTTAATTATGATGCTGCAGTGTTAATTGAATGTCTTGAAGTCTTACTTGAGTGCCTTCCCATGACTACCTTGCAATAAACTAAATAAGTTTATGCATGACAAACCTGAGCATTTCTTTATTTATTCTTAAGATAAAATCTTCCAGGACAAAGATCCATTGCATTCCATTTCTTCCAGCTCTCTTTCTCCTAATGGTGTGTTCCTTTGGCCCAGAGCAGAGCCAAGCAGAGCCAGGCAAAGGTACAACAAACCTTTGTTATTGTAAATTAGTAGGACCTTTTAGGGTTATTTGTTACTGCATAAAAGCTGACTTATACAAAACTTTGTCTTTATAATAGCTTCCTCTTTAACACAACAGTTCTTCACCTGCCCCCTATACTACTTCCCTTTGGTTCATTATCTGCTAGTGTGACACAGACTGAAAAAAAGTTTTTTGTCACATCCAATTCCTCCTGAGCTCAATTTTAATCAAAAGGATCTGATAAAATAATTACAAGAAGATATATTTATCTATCTTGAGGTTGAAGCTAGAAATCTCAAGCTGGCTTTGATGACTTTCCAGCTTACTCCCCAAATTCAATCAAATATCAAGTCTTGATGATTCTGCAAAATGTTTCTGTTTTCCCACTTTCCATTTTATTGCCCCTCTCCTCATTCAAGAATGCATCATTTTTCTCCTGGACCACTACATATCATCTTGTGAATTGCTAGCCAATATGTCTTTTAAAACATGGGTTTGATGAAGACTTTTCCTTTGCTAACAAACTCCATTCCTTCCCCCATTTCTTGTCATTACCTAGAACTGTGCTACTCAAAGTAGTGTCCATGGACAAGTCACATTGGAGTTATCAGGGGGCTTTTAAAAAATGCATTATCTCTGGCCCCATCGAAGAGCTACAGAATCAGAGTCTGAATTTTAACAAAATTCTCAGGTGATTTGTCTGTACATTAAAGTTTGAGAAACACTGATGTAGGGGATATGAGTGTATCTGCAAATGATTGACCCCATACAGAATGTCAGGTTTTGCCTATATGCTTCACATATGTTCTCTCTAATCATCACATCAGTCCTATAAATAAGTATTGTGATTCTCATTCTTTTTTCAGAATTTATAAGGAGGTTGATCTGACCATGAATCTCTTTTTTATTTTTGCCTGAAGATAACTTTATTTTGCCTTTTAGTTTTTTAAATTGAGATATAACTTGCATATAGTAAAACATACAAATCATTGTACAGCTTGATGACCTTTTACATATGTACACATATAGCCCCTTGTATCTTTTCACCGTACTTAGTCAACCTGTATACTGAGCAAATAATCTGAGAAACCGGACTACATGAAGAAGAATGCGGTATCAGGATTGGAAGAAGACTCATTAATAACCTGTGATACACATATGACACAACCTTGATTGCTTAAAGTGAAGAAGACTTGAAGAACTTACTGATTAAGATCAAAGACTACAGCCTTCAGTGTGGTTTACACCTCAACATAAAGAAAACAAAAATCCTCACAACTGGACCAATAAGTAATATCATGATAAATGGAGAAAACATTAAAATTATCAAGGATTTCATTTTACTTGGATCCCCAATCAAGACCCATGGAAGCAGCAGTCAAGAAATCAAAGGACGTATTGCATTGGGCAAATCTGCTGCAAAAGACCTCTTTAAAGAGTTCAAATCAAAGATGTCACTTTGAGGACTAAGGTGCACCTGACCAAAGCCATGGTATTTTCAATCTCCTCATATGCATGTGAAAGCTGGACAATGAATAAGGAAGACTGAAGAATAATTGATGCCTTTGAATTATGGTGTTGGCAAAAAATATTGAATATACCATGGACTGCCAAAAGAACGAACAAATCTGCCTTGGAAGAAATACAGTCAGAAGCTCCTTAGAAGCAAGGATGGCGAGAATTGGCGAGTACCAAAAAGAATTGGTTGACATTTAATGATTTCAGAAGGTAGCATATGATCAGGAACCAATGGTACTGAAGAAAGAGATCCAAGCTGCACTGAAAGCATTGGCAAAAAACAAGGCTCCAGGAATTGATGGAATACCAATTGAGATATTTCATCAAATGGATGCAGCACTGGAAGTGCTCACTCATCTCTGCCAAGAAATTTGGAAGACATCTACCTGGGCAACCGACTGGAAGACATCTATGTTTGTACCTATTCCAAAGAAAGCTGATCCAACTGAATGCAGAAATTATTGAACAATATCATTAATACCACACACAAGTAAAATTTTGCTGAAGATCATTTAAAAGCAGTTGCAGCAGTACATCAGCAGGGAACTGCCAGAAATTCAAGCTGGATTCAGAAGAGGATGTGGAATAAAGGATATCATTTCTGATGTCAGATGGATCATGGCTGAAAGCAGAGGATACCAGAAAAATGTTTACCTGTGTTTTATTGACTATGCAAAGGCATTTGACTGTGTGGATGATAATGAATTATGGATAACATTGGAAAGAACAGGAATTCCAGAACACTTAATTGTGCTCATGAGGAACCTGTACTTAGAGCAAGAGGCAGTTGTTTGACCAAAACAAGGGGATACTGTATGGTTGAAAGTTGGGAAAGGTGTGCGTCAGGGTTGTATCATTTCACCATACTTATTCAGTCTGTATGCTGAGCAAATTAGCTGAGAAGCTGGACTATATGAAGAAGAAAGAGGCATCAGGATTGGAGGAAGACTCATTAACAACCTGCAATTTGCAGATGACTCAACATTGCTTGCTGAAATTGAAGAGGACCTGAAGCACTTAGTGGTGAGGATCAAAGACCACAGTCTTCAGTATGGATTACACCTCAACACAAAAATCCTTACAATGTACCAATAAGCAACATCATGACAAATGAAGAGAAGATTGAAATTGTCCAGGATTTCATTTTACTTGAATCCATAATCAACACCCATGGAAGCAGCAG